CGGGGGACGGGACACACACAAAAAAAACCCCAAAACCAAACACACACACAAAAAAACCCCAAAACACTAGCCCTGATGTGGTAAGACTTGCTGCTTTAGAAGGTTGAACACTACCATGAGAAAGGTAGCAAGAAATAATCACTATAACAAAAGGGAAGACAGGATAAAGAAATAAGAATGTTTCTATATCTTGTATACATAATTTGATCACATAAGACTATAAACACCAAATAAAACTACTGATCATCTACAGTATTTTCTTAGTTCCACAGAATTACAAAACCAGAAAGTGTACTGAAGCAGTAAGAGGTCTTTTCAAACTCCTGTTCTTACTCCATGCTTGCTTGAACTTTACTCCACATCTGAAGGTGTTAACTACTTTTAGTACATGTGAAATTGCTATACTTACTACTCCCCACCACAGGGCATCTGCATAGCTGCCAAACTCTGTTTCTCCAGAATCATTTACAGCATCTTTTTCAGCCAGGTACACAAAATAAGAGGAAAAAATCAGACCCAGAAATCCAATGTAGAGTGTAGTTATCAGTTCCTGCAAAGAGAATCAAAATAACAGCATTATTGAAACACTTAAATTACCTACCACTGACAGTTTTTAAAAGATAATTGAAACAGAAGAATGTAATTTCAGCATTCAATAAATATTGACTCTCAGTTGCACAAATTAAGAAAAATCCACTGAGCTCAATGGTGAAAGAATTTACACCATAGCTGATAACTTGGCCCAGCACGCACATGTCAAACACAGAGTCAAAACAACCTCCTCACTTGCAAGCGTGACTCATTAACCATTTGGTCACCAAAAAGCAGTTGGGTAATTTTTTCAGACGGTGCCTAACTCAAAACAACTTTGGAAGTTAGAAACATATTTTTTAAAATATTCAGACTACTTTTCAGAAGTCTCATTTTCTGTGGTTATGTCCAACTACAAGTGAAAAGTTTGCCAAAGTGGAGGCGCATATCTTTTAGGAACTTTCTGTCCCTTGAACAAGGCAGAACCACCACCCTTGGTTAAAATAAAAGACTGCCTGTCTCCACACTAAATATATTTGACATCATCAGCACGTCTGCATACACGCTGTTCCGTATGTAAGGACTTGTGCATCAATTATTATGCCATTCCTCAGAGTACTCAAACTTACTTGTCTGTGTATGAACACCACTGATCCCAGCAGCCTCCATGTACCACCCTGACGGTCAACATGCAGCATTCGTAAAATCTGCAGAAAACGGATGCCCCTGGAACACAATTTTCATATAAATGAGGAGACTAAAGATAAAAGAGAAGAAATAATGGTGGAGAGAGGAAGTCTGTCTCTTCCAAAGGACTGTTTCAGGAGAGACATAGTATTTTATGTTGGACTTCGCAGCCTGTCTCTTTTCACTCCATTCAACCATCTTTCATCTTGTTTGTTATGAAGACAGCATGGGGAGATTGCACAAGAGGACAGACCTTTGTACACATGGCTATTAAGGATAACTCAAGTATTCAGGAATTTTGGACACAAACTGTGAATGCTCTAGAAATCATTCATCAACTCATACCTGACCTGCTTGCCAGGATGGGAAACAACATAGAAAAAGATCTGAAACCCTCACCTTTAGGAATTTTATAGGCAATTTGAACTAGACAGTCCAATAATATTTTAAAATATTCTTTTTATGAAAGTCACTGCCATCCTAGAGCATCACTGCAGCTAGTGTGCAGAGCACAGTACTCTGCCGTGTACCCTCTCATTTAAGAAAGCCAAGTGGCATGACCCTCCTGAGCACAAGGTGGATTCAGTCCATCAGGAATTCACCACTAACCTCAGGCATTTTACAGAGAAGCAGCTTGAAGACATCAGAGACATGACACATGGAAGTCCTGTGGTAAAAACTGAGCCTAGAAACTAAAACACGATTTGGGCAGAATCCATCTAGTTGGTCAAAGGCGGTACCTCTGTCCTCGCCAGACATAAAGGCTTTACCACCAGAGAACACACAAAATTACATTTCCCCTACACCTAATGGGATCACTGTTTCACACCCATACATGACTGGTGATCTGCTCTGTTACATGGCTCTGAGCAGTGACTCATTTTCTCCTACAAGAACTAAAATGGGAGGTAAAAAAAGAAAAAAAAAAACCACCTTACTCAGACAGCACTATATTTTACTGCATATAATTACCTGATAGCTGAGGTTGCAAAGACTTGACCTTTAGAACCCACACAAAGAACTATCATGGAAGCAACAACAACAATTAAATCTGGAAAACAAAAGTCAATTGAAAAAAATCAGTTAGCAGCATCTTCCAATACTTCTGCAAGACTGTTATTAGAACCAATGCCAATATTACTTTAATAATTTGAACAGTCACCTAAAATTAAGATTTTTGTTTGTATATCACAAGATGTCTATGGTAAAATATAAAGAAAATATAATTGTGATAGAATAGAAAGGTTTTACTGGGATGGCTCCAAGATGGCCACATTCTAGATGAATGGCGAGTGATATTGAATTACTCTGCACCCTGGAATCCTGATTACCTGTAACACATAAGGAATTTCAGCACTTTCTACCTGGAATTTCAGCAGTTTCTACCTATTATCTCTTCTGTGTATCTTATTTTCTTTGTTGTTTTAGACAGCATTTTATTCATTGGCAGAAGTTTTGGGGTTTAGTTCATATATGGAAATTGCCTTACTATTATTTCATCTGTCCAGGTCTAAAAGTGAGAGAAAAATTGGAATTCATGTATAAGTGTAATTTAGTTTAAGTTAGTCATTACCCTAGGATGGTACTCTAAATCTCTGTGCCTTAGGCCTAGTCAGTTTTGGAAAGGAACTCAGTATTTTTGAGAATTAAATAGTTCTTGATACATATCTGTAAAAGTGGAATTTTGTTTTGCTTTCCAAGCTGAGATAAATTGGATGATGTTTCAGAACCCCCAGTGTTCTAGGTCTCAAGAGAAATGGATTGTGAACAGAGTGTAAAGATATAGTCAATGCCAGTTTATAGTTTCAGTCACACCTGCAATACGATTGTTATTTATATATATGCACAGAGAAGCCTAAGTATTTTATGATTGTAAAAATACCCAAATACAAAATTTTGTAATTTATATTCACAGAATCACAGAATTTAGATAGTTTATGAAAAACTATATCCTCTACTCAACAACAAATAATATTTCCAAGTAGTGGGAAAAAACTGTGCTTCTATAATAATACTCCTCTTCCAAAATCTGGTTTGTTTAATCCAATTTATATTTTAAGTGCTTCAGGGCAAGGGTCTTTACATAGTTCTCTCAATATTGGCTAACAAAATACAGATTGATTTTGGATTATTATTTTTTCAGTGAAATTGTTAAATGCATGACAAGCTTTCTAAAAAAAATTATGGTTTGTGACATATATGGAACATATGGATGTAATTTCTAAGAACACTGAAGCCATGGTAGGAAGCCAACTGCAGTGAATATCAAAGGGAAGTCAGGTACTCAGTTCCAAATCATCACTGAAATTTTAATCCAATAGATACACAAAACAACTACAATGCATCTATCATGCTACACCATGCAGTACGTAGCTCAATTAGAGGGCAAAATAAACTCATAATTATTCAAATGGCTGCTGGGGGAAAAAAAAAAAAAGGCCTTTTGGTATCTTTTAAAAAAACAGTCAGCTATTGTACAGTGTCTGGAAGCCTGAGGTCACAGGAGACAGGACTATGGCCAAGACTTAATTCTGGCAAAGCGTCAGATCACTTGTGAAAAGAAAACACTCTGCTCTTCTGGAAAAACAAACCAAGCTACATTTGTTCTCAGATGACAGTGCCATGGATTCCTGAAAGGAAATTCAGATCTACGTTAATGCTAATGACAAGAGATCTTGCTCTAACTTGGCTTCAACTGCTGCACAAATTCCACTTCTCAAAACTTTCAAGGACAAGTTTTACTCATTGTTTACATCAACTTCACAGGCTGTGCATACTCACCAATGATTGAAATAGGCTTCCTAGCAAAACGAAGCCTTCCCCATATTCCAACATATTTACTGCGGCATCCTGCTGACCATAACCGAACCACATATTCTGTTCCAAAGAATACCACTAATACAATTTCCTAAAAGAAACAGAGGAACTAGATTAATTCCCTTTCACCTTTTTTCAGAATGTATTAGAAAATGCTAGAATAAAATGTGAAATTCGGAAGGTGAAAAAAAAAGGCAACTATACCAAAATGATCTAAAGTAACACAGAAAAACTTTTAAGAATAAAGGAAGAAAAGATTAAGAGCAAGTTTAAATACTTTAATTGCATGCAGTTTGGCTTGTCTACACGTACTAAAACTGAAAACCATTCTGTGCAATTCACTTGGTCTAATTCAAACAAAAGGTTTCCTGACGGAGCCAAAGAAAACAAGCAGAGTCTGTTTTCAGAAGATGAGTATTTTGCTAGCATATTTCATTTCGGGAAGAGGTGTGTTTCACATTCCATTTACCGTATCAGCTTAACCTCCCACTTATTTGTACTTTTTCAGTCTTCCTTTAATCTCACATGGACTGAAGAAAGATTTCTAGTACCCATTACCACTGTGTCAGTCTCCAGGTGCACTGAGAACAGTGAACTCTCAAGCCCACCTTTCTCAGCCTCTTGTCAACAATTAGAGACCTCAGCAGAAATAGAAGTCTAGTCCTGAAGCACGGCTGCTAGCAAACCACGTGTTAACCGCAGACCTACACTAAGGTAGGGCTTTGGAAATGCCTTCAAAGTGATAGATGTCAAAGCCATCTGACATTCTTGTTGATTAGACAGAGGTACAGCTATGCTGTGTTTGGAACTCAACGTGCAGAAAAATCGTGTTTTTCTGCAGACTGGTTGAGCACGGCATACCCAGCAGTTTCCTCGAGTATCAGGGAGCTGCAATACAGCCTCACTGGCCAACTCAAATAATAACTGGTCACATTCTCTATCAGAGCCACTAGCAAAATCTACTAACTGGAACGGTAACAGTGGCTTGTAATTGAAACCACACAAATCATGATGATGTATGGAAGGAGCAACGTAGAGAAACCAAGGATCATAAGGCATCACAGTCACATAGGATAATGCAGATTAAGAGAACAAGCTGCTTATTTCATAGTGTCATTTAATATAAAGAGGAAATGCAGGAAAGACAACATGCTGTGGAAGATTTTATCCTGCCCCCTCACATTTCTGCAGGGCTCACTGCTGCTTTTCGTAACAGACTGGCAAACAGGACTCAAGATGGTACCTATGACTATTTTCTAAATTAACTGAAATAATCAGGATACAACCCTAGTGCAGTCAAGATGAATAGGAGTCATATTATTAGCTTCAGAAATGCTTGGGACATTGCTTTGAATACCGAGTAAAATAATAGGCCTGTATACAGTAAAAAGAGCAGGAAACATTTACAAATCGGTTGACTTCACTGTAATCTTTCTGTGGCTCTAAAACACCAGTCTCCTGATGGCATAACAAACTGTTCATCTCAGAGCACTACATCATTGAAGTCTGACTGTGACACTTCTAGAAAAGGTAGGAGAACATTAGCCAGCAACCTTTCTCTTAGTTTTGACAATCTCATAACCTGTGCAAGATGTCAGATAGAGAAGAACAGCTATCACAATTGTTTATAGTCACCGTTAGATATTCAAGATATAATGAAACTGTCCAGATCATTGGTTGTAACAAATATGAATTTCAGACCCTTCAACCCAGCCAAGAATCTCTTCTACAGCCTCATTCTGAAAGGATCCACCAGAACCCTCCATCTTTTTTTTTTTTTTTTTTAAACTGGACTATTATTGAATATTCTTCAGTTAAATAAAGTCATAATGAACATCATAAATCTAAACAGCATGTGGGGCAGACACTTTAAGGAAAGCCTGTGCCTTATGAGAGAAGCTTTAAACGCAATAAAACTCTGCCTTTAGGTGAAATTGGACAATGTCATTTATGAATCTACAGTGAATGGCAAAATTATGAGCCCTGCTTTACGTGAGGCGCTGTTGAATTGTCACAGCAAAATAAAGCACCAGAGGCCACTGTTTCTGAGCAGGTGACTGCATTCATTTCACAGACATGGTCAATATACTCTAATATCCAAGTACTCTTCTGTATGCAGAAGGCTAGTACATCTCCTTTCATCACTACCACGGAGGAAACTCTCTCAACAAAAGACAATAGCAACCATACCGGGAGCAAAAACTGTCCTTCACTCAAAATAACTCATTTGAGGAAGGGATGTATGGCCTCACATCATATGTGATAGCACAGATAATACTGTTCAGATATCCCCAAGAGCAAAAGAACAACAACAAAATAAGCTTGGTAGGCAAAGAAAAACCTTGAGAAAAGTTAATGTTTTAGCACAATGAAACCACAAACAGCATTCTGACCGGGCACCGTGGCCTTGTCAGGATCACAGTTTCAGTTTTATAGCAAGAAGGTAGAAAGTGAAAGCCTGGATTGTGCTTTAAAGAAGCATGTATTCTCTGCGTAGGAAATTTGCATCGGAGTTGTGCGGGTATGTTTTTTAAAGGCCCTGCATGGTTCATTGGCTAACAGGCACACCGGCAAGTATGCAAATGGGGGCTGTCCCAAAGACAATGCGACAGACACGCAGTCAATGGTTACTGTCATCCAGCTCTTTGCGTGACATGCAGACAAGCTTAGAGAACATTGATTGTCCTATAGACTCCGGTGACTGGAGGGAACGACCAGTCGGCTTACACCAAGACACATTTTTCACTCCTGACGTTTTGATAAAGGCTTATTGACCTAAATGAGACCCAAGTTATTCAGGGAACATCGGGGGTGAAAGTGCACAAGCTGTTCTTCATGGTCATACACAAAAACTCCAGGTATCCATTAGCAACTGGCAAATTCCCCCTCCCCTGCCCGTGGCTATGTGACAGACAAAAGTGTTTTTAATATCTTGTGTTGCATAAGTCTAATAAGTAGTCTCCTGGGGGCGGGGGAGGTTGATGAATGTCTGTTGGTACTCACTTGTACTAGCAGCCAGAAACTTGCAGACAAGGAAAAATTACATTAGAAAATTATGCCTTCCTGAGCTACTAAACTATTGCCTATATTTTCCCAATTAACAGTTTAACATGAAACTTTACATTAACTAGAAGGAGGCCAACATGATCCTTAGTTCAATCATGCTGGTAGTAATTAGGGCTAATTCCATTAAATAGGAGTTACCCTGGCCTCACACCTGAGTTGCACTACAGATTCATTTGATCCACTGTTTCTTCAACACTTTCTCCTAATTGCCTGATTAAGACCTACCTCTTAAGTGCACTGTATAAAAGTTTGCACTTCTCTCAATGAATCAGCTGGACTGAAACATGGATTTGAGAAGCTGATACAGGAGAACGGAAAGGATAAAGTGCTGAGCAGATAGACAGGATGTAAAGAATGAGTGAAAGGAGAAATAAAACAACATTCAGCCCAAGAAAAAAATTAAAATATCGAGAAAATAACTGCCTGCAAAACACTAGTGGGAGCAGGGATTAAGGCTCAGTGGAGCAATTTTCCTGGTTAAAGTTACAGACGCACAAGAACCACACTGTCCAAGGGCCCACTCAACCCTTTCTACAGGCTGAAAACAAAAATACATCAGAGAGAAAAAACTTATATTGACATGGTAAAAAGAGCCCTCCGAGATGTGACATTCATGTAGCTTCATGCTGTGGGCATCCAGGAGCACTCTTGCTTAAGAGGAGAGACTTTTTTTTTCTTTTAATTATTGATTTGTACATGGTACCCTCACTTCTGCCATCCTTCCTGCTCAGCCCAGGCATATGCTTAATGCTATCTTCATGCCTTCCCAGCCACATAATCCCAACACAGCCAAGTACCAGATCAACTCTGGATAAAAAGTAGCGAAGATGAATGTGAGATAAACATGTAGATTGCTCTTCTTGAAGAACTCTACTGGTGTTGGTAACTTTCCAGCTATGAGCAATTTCTCGCATGTAAATTCACAACTTTCAACTAAAAGGAACAGGTAGACTAGACTAATGTAACAAGCCTTGAGCGTTTGTACTGTGGTACAGTGCTTGGCGAAACTACAATAGGTCTCCAGGCATCTCAGGCTCATTTAGCAGATGCCTGGAAATTAAATATTTCTCATACAGACCAGTAAAGGAGCCTGAGTCCTCACTGGTGCGTTGGTGCAGGAGTAGGGTCAGCATATAGGATCCAATTCAGAAGTCTCACGACAGTTTTTTCAGTGGATCTCACTACTCACTTTCATGGTTTTACAAGGGGAACAGAAGTTCCTTTGAGCTGATCAGGCACTACATGGAGAGCTTTGGGAATTGTTTGAAGTATGAAAGAGCCAATAAAACATAAAAATAATCCTCAGCCTGAGACAGATATGTCATAACATAATCACCTGGCTAAAGTACAGATTTCATCACCTTGATGAAGGAACTTAGGCAGGATCCATAAAAACACAGTCCCCTGAAAAATATACCCATGCTATCTGTCATTACAGCCCGTATCTCCACAGTTCCTGTGGATTAATCACAGTTTCATAATAAGCCCACACAGAGAACACACAGAAAAGGGCTTGAAGAGCAGCTGTAATGAAAAGCCCATGTATTAGGTTGACTTACACCGAAGAATTGGATGTGCTATTGGTAAAGACACTTTAACTATCGCCTTGACAAACTTCAGCATGCTATAAGGCAAAAGAACAAGCATGTCCCTTCCATCAGAGGACAACAGGGAAAATTTACTCATGAAAAGGAGTGTGACTGGATTGAAGGAGGAACCAGACTTCTTCAGCTGTGTGACTGGGGAGTCAGATCTATAAAAACAAATACACACAGGTATATTAGCACTTTAATATATTTATTTTGCTAATTAACTAATTAGCAATTACTATATTTATTTTGCTAATAAATGCATCTTGAAAAGCCCTTCCATTACCACTCCACCCCCACTGATTGGAAGAGCTACAATCCAACTTTGGGAGGCATCCAACACCCACACTGTGAGATAAAGTGCAGTAGCAACTCCAAAAGGAAGAACAGAGTCCCTAAACTTAGCTGAAGGAGATGTTTTTAAGCAATTAGACAG